CAACTACTCGCTGCGTGGTTCCACGGAGGGTGGACATCAAGTCTAGGAACTTACCCGCAATACATGTGCTGTATATGTGGTAGCTCGAAAAAAAAATCTTGTTCATTCTGATGAAATGGGCAGGTCATCTCGCGCTCTATTTTCATTTGTCATTTATGTCAATGCATATCCTTGCACAGTATGAAATACTTGTGTTGTCACGAAATCAAAGTTTTCATATATTATCTTGGTATATTTTAAAAATAATAAAATTACTTTTTTTTCGTCAGAACCAAATACTGATTCAATAAAAAGGAAATATGGTATGTTATTTTAGAACAAGGAAAAACAGTAGTAGGGCTACAGTAAATACATGGATGACTGTGTGTATGTGCGAACTGAAGTTGAACATTTTATTTACAATCATTAGTTTTACAGTTGATACTCATTTTGATGAACCCCTTCTCACGCAAAATATAGTTGACAGAAGAAAATAATATATATATAATATATATATATATATATATATATATATATATATATATATATATATACATGTGTATATAAATGTATTCATCTATTTTTTGCTGGGGACTTCAGTGAATCGACTAATAGGTAGGATGCTTATTAATTTCAAAGACATTTTACTGTCGGTTTATATGCACAAAGAAAAATGGTAATAGTTGTAGAAAAGAAAGACCAATACTGGGCCAGTCATACTTTTAATAAGATTAGTCTATTTCTCCTCCGTAACACTTTCCATTTCCTTTTAGCACGGCCTATTACCTATCGGTAGGTTCTTTAATTAGCCGTTTCCCAAATACAAGGGGAATATAAATTGCATGCGTGTAAGATAAAAGTAGAGAGAAAGATTAAATTCCCATTTTGTCAGAATGAGCAAGATCTTTCTTTCAGGATATCAGATATATTTATTGGGAGTAAGTTTTTAGAATAATTTTCACCCTTGTTCGAACCACTCACTTAGTAGTTGCTCGAGTTGAAACAAACAAACTCAGCTCATTTAATGCGACTCCTCAGAGTAACTTATGGAGTAATAATACCGAACACTATTATAAGAATAATCTAAAAAATATACATACTGTTGCATTACTAATCACCAATATTGACTTAGTGTCTCTATAGACATTGCAGATACACACACACACACACACACACACACACACACACACACACACACACACACACACACACACACACAATGTTAAAGTATCTACATATTCAGTGTAGCCCTATTGCGGTTTTACGTTCAGTTAATGTTCTATAATGGAAAATATAATGTAGCATGTTTTTTGTTTATTGAATGTTTGTTTTAGTGCTTGGTTCTGGCGAAAAAGAAGCTGTCACTTCATTAGTTCGATTAGTCGCTACTAGATGGTGCAACTACGAGAACCATTTACAAAGGTATCGGCAATTTTAAAGATTTTTTATATTTGATACAACTGCCATGCATAGATATTTGAAGTATGAAATGTTTACAAGTTTCAAGGAATATGCAGCTATAATTGATAGTTGCTGTGTTGAAAGGAGGAAATGTCGCCTCACCTCCATAGGTGATGCCATTTCGATAAACAAACAATTCCAGGAAATCGCATTTGATTAATATTCCAGGTAACAAACACGACATGTTTTGTTACCACTTGTTTGAAAAAAAAGAAAAATCAAATGGCTCACGTAGTTTCCAAAAATAGATATTAACATACTTGTTGGTCATTTATGTTCTACCAATGACTCCACATGTTACAGACAGCCTAGGGCTTTCGTCTCATTCATAAAAATACTATTTACTCTATGTTCACATCGAAGTGGCTGTCAGATGTACAAAAGCGAGACCCAGCAAGTGTATTGAAATATAATTCCGCAATTGTACACACACACACACACACACACTCACACACACACATATATGTATGTATATATATGTATGTATGTATATATATATATATATATATATATATATATATATATATATGTGTGTGTGTGTGTGTGTGTGTGTGTGTGTGTGTGTGTGTGTGTGTGTGTGTGTGTGTGTGTATGTGTGTGTGTGTGTATATATATATGTGTGTGTGTGTCTGTGGTCCACATACACACACACAAATGCCAGTTAACGTCATGATTTATTTCAAACAAAGTAATAAATATACATATATCTATACATGTATGTGTCTGAATGTATGTAAGCTTGTGTGTGTGTATGTATATATATATATATATATATATATATATATATATATATATATACATATGCATATATGTAAATATGTATATATATGTATATATATGTATATATATATGTGTGTGTGTGTGTGTGTGTGGATATATGCATACATATTTATATATATGCATATATATACATATATGTGTAACTGTATAAACATATTTGTGTATACATATATATGTACAAATATATACACATACATGTACATATAGAGGTACACATACACAAACATATATAAGTATATATACATATACATATATGTATATCTATATATACATACATAAATAGATGTATAGGTAGGTAGATTAGATAGATAGATAAACAGATTTATATATACATATATGTACAGATATGTGTATATATCTATACATATATGTATATATATATGTGTGTGTGTGTATATATATATATATTGTGTGTGAATATATATATATTCACACATGCACACGTATATGCATGCGTGACTGTCTGTCTGCATGTATGTATGTATATATAGATATATATGTATATCTATATATACATACATAAATAGATGTATAGGTAGGTAGATTAGATAGATAGATAAACAGATTTATATATACATATATGTACAGATATGTGTATATATCTATACATATATGTATATATGTGTGTGTGTGTGTGTGTGTGTGTGTGTGTGTGTGTATAAATGTAAATTTATGTGTGTGTCTGAATACCTGTCTGACTATGTGTTTGACTGACTTTCTCTCTCTCTCTCATACACACGTTTTCGTGGCAAGTAGACGTCCTCTCTGGAGCTCATCATCCCGTCAATAATAGCGATACGATATTTAAATACATCACTGGCTCTCCAGGTATGACTCTACCTTGTTAAGCTACCACAGTATAAAAAATAAAATAAAATAAAAACTGCTTATGCCAAATCTTAAAGAAAATCAGACAGCTCATTCAACTTGCCCGCCGATGTTCTAAAAACTTTCCGTGTATGACAATTAGGATTCCAGTTAATTACAGTACAGAATGCATAGGATTACAATACAGAATGCTTTCCTGGACGCAGATACCTTTCATCTGTGGGAAAAGGCGCGAAAATAAAAGATATAAAGGACAGAGAAGAGAGATAGTCGACCCAGCATTTTCTAAGCCCCAGCGTGTTTATTTTGTGAGGACCAAAACGAATGTGACGCGTAACTCATTAGGATGATCATTAGTTTATGTATTACCGCTAGACCTAGTTTATACGTTAATGAAAGTCGATTTGGGATATTAGGAAACAACATAGAGAATTGATTCAACAAGGATGACACTAAGGATGGTAAAATCTGTATAAAACTTTTTAAAATGTTCAAATCAAACACATATCACCAATGATGAAGCACAAAGTCACTTCCTAAATAAATTCCCTATTTTGAGAGAAACACCTAATGCTGTTTTAGAACATCTATCAGTCTTGTATATTTATAATCTATTACTATTACCGTGCTACTACTATCTATCATTCCTATATCTACTTGAATTCCAACTATCATTACTATTGGATTGCAGCCTCCACGTCAGATGATGACCATTCGAGCAGCATCCGAACGTTTAGCGTCACCGATATATTAATGGATGCCTGGTGCCGTAAATATAGAGATTTTATTCTGTTCTATTTTATTTCCGTTGTCCACAGTCTAGATACAAAATTCCAGTCCAAATTATGTCAGATCATATTTAAGTACCCACAATCCCCACACCAACGTAAATAACCAGCACTAGTTTCCCACAGAGGATTCTGCAGCTCTGAACTCTGCTTGTTGTCGAAACCATTTGTTTGTAAAACCCAAACACCCGCTGTGAATCTGCCCACCTCAACTTCCAGTCGTGTTAAGTTAAGTACGAGTGAGGATTTTTAGGATTGAGAAATCAAAAGTTTAGGCTGGATACACTGCTGTCATTCGTGAGTTTTTATTTTAACGTGGATAGTTTTTTATTGTTTCGTGTTTTTAGAGCTTCTTTTTTAAATAAAAATAAAGTATGTTTTAAATGTATATAGTTTCTTTTATGACTTAGGAAAAAAAAATATCGATCCTATCCGCCATAGTATATAACAATATAATTCGAATCTAACTTATGCTAAAGTTTAAAATAAAGTAGCTAGCATAACTGTTTTACCACAGTTAGTGAGTGATGCTTGCGCTGCCACCACCTCTCTTCGCCTTGTTTTAACTATGTCCAAGCTAGGCGCCCTTGTTAGTGAGACGCGACAGTATAATTTGATGGCTAGCTCGGTGATTCGTAAGAGTGGTTTTTGTTTGTCTTGTGATTTAAGTTCATAGTATCCAGGGCAGTTTATTTTTTGTGAGAATTTTACCTGCAGTTTGTTTGTCATTAAGAGCAGGCCTAATGCAGATCCCATTTATGTCAATTATGTGTTTACGTTATGTAAATATATTTCATTTTTGTAATAGTTTTTCTTGTTGCTTTTGATTGCTTGTAAATCGCGTGAACTATATTCGTATGGTTGTTTATTAGTGCTGACCTGATTATTATTTTGTATTGGTGATGCTTTTCATGATTGTTTAATGCAGTTGTTTGGCGATGTTGTTAGTTGCTTATTCGTGTTGCTGTTGCGATGTCTCCATTTTAATGTGGTTTCGCCTAACAGTGTTGTAACAGTGTTGCTATGTGAATCTTCTGCTTCACGAAGTTACAGTTTGTTTAGCGTCTTGTTTAAGCACGTACGTTTGCTTTATTGTCTAGTTTTCCAAGACGAATTCCCGCATGGGACGAAACTAAACCAAAGGAAAACGAAAAGAAATGCAGGTTTATGCAGCTAATTTATTCAGGGTCACCCAGACTTACCAAATTGATAAATGAAACTATTTCCGTTTTCAAAAACTTTTCAGAAAGAAGAAATTAACTGGATCACCTTTATACAATTTCAGCAATTGATTTATGCAAAGATCAAAGGTCCAATTATGAACAGAATTAAACAAAACTAATACATTGACATAACCAACACACCAAGCTAATTGCTAATGAATTAGGGATACAAAGCCAAAAGGAAAGGGATTCTCGTCTTGTCCAGCGTAGTCCAG